GTGACACAGCGAGGAACAGCCTCCCCAGACCCAGCCTGCAGGGAGGCCAGGTGAATGTCGCAGGCAGATCCCAGGCCTTGCGCTCAGCCATTCCCCCCAAAAAAGGAGGCCATCGGCCAAACTCCAAGAACCAAAAAAAGGGGCCCCGGGCTGCGTCCGTGCAAGATGAGCTGCAGGCCCTCGGCCTCTCCGGCAAAAAGAAGGCCCACCGCCGTTCCGTTCCCTGCGGGGGGTCCGGGCCTGCACGCCCGCCGCCTCCAGGATGGAGGGCAGCGCCTCCNNGTTTAGGGTTTAGAGGGCTTAGAGGGTTTAGAGGGTCTTTAGGGTTTAGGGTTTATGGGGCGTAGGGCTTATAGGGTTTAGGGCTTAGGGTTCTATGGGGTTTATAGGGTTTAGGGCCAGCAATGGCTTGACTCATGAGGCGACAAAAGGCTGCGACCTGCATGAACGCCTCGCAATCAGTGTAGAGGAACTTCAAGCCTCGGAAGCACACGAAAGGGCCCGTGCTCTGAGACACCCAGAAGAGAGTTTGCGACGGACCACATTGACATCTTGTTCTGCATGAGGGTTCAGAGATCTTACTCATCAACAGGTCAGTCCAGTTCATTTTTGAGCCAGTTATCCGTTGAAGACCGCAAATAGACGCAAATAGCATCCGCCTCCTGTGGAAATCGCAGTCGCCTCCCACCCACATTTCATGGACTTGGAGAAGTTGGATGTCTTCTCTTCCTGGACTGATCTTTGTGCGGGTGTCGTGAAAGTATCGCAGTGGAAGGCAGATGAGAGATGAAGGGGCAGAGGAGTAGAATCGCAGAAGACATCAGTCGTCTTCCTGGTCTGGCATACTTCCGAACTCCTGTGGTAGGGAGGAGACCGGTGGAACCGGGGATCCGGAGCTTCCCTTGGCCTCCTGCAGATTTGATCCTTTTCTCATCCATCCAGCCCTTTCCGGCCCTCCCCCAACCCGCCCTCCACGCAGTCGAGACTGCGAGCTGCCAGTCACTGCATCGACCCGGAGTCTGAGGTCGGTACTTGGCTTGCCCTCACTCCAGGCGTAGCCGCGAAACTGCCAAGGTTAACTCAAAGCTAGCTGCTGCGCCCATTTAGAGGAATTCAAAATGCAAGCTACCGACAGGGTCGCACAGAGAGATGAGCCGCAAGGGGTCACTGAATCTGCTTATGCAGGCGACACCAGGGACCTAGCAGATCGTGGAGGGAGCTGAAACATGCTGATGGACACCACGTGGACACGTCTCAGAAGCCTACTCTCAAATTCAAACTTGCGGCGCCGGCGATTGTTCAGTGTAGAGCGAAGTCAGATTCGTGGTCTGGATGTTGCTATGAAGCAGGCGTGTTCTAACAACGTTGATTGGATGAACCAAGCCCCAGAGCACCAACGGCTCCTTACAAATCGAGTCCGAAGTATCGTCGCAAGCACGAGCCTGTTGACAGCAACTAGCCGAAATTTGCTCGACCCCTCACTCTTCACTGCAATCATGTTGATCTATATGTCACAAACACCACATCCTTCCTTCATCGGATTTCATGGGCGAGAGGCGCGGAGTGTTCGTCCCTGCCTCGGGACACAGGACCAAGGCAAACCCGCTGTCGAAGAAGTTCTTCACCTCCCCCTGCAGACCACAAGATTCCTAGTTCCAAGTCCGATCACGATGATGCACATGACACCGATGCGGCGACCGCTGGCGCTTACAAGTGCACTGATTCCCGCGTCGGCCGTGCATTTCAGGGACGCATCTGCCTCCAGGTCCGTGCACAACTCGGCGTTGGCATGGAAGTAGCACGAGACCAGGAGCCGCCCCTCCTCCAGAGGCCGCCCAGCTGAAAAAGTACCCAAAATGACCCCAAAGGGCCGAGGGCCCGAACGGCGCCTGCGCTTGCTTGGCCTCCGCATCGGCGCTTCTGTAGAGCCTCTCGGTGAAACTCGAGAAAGAGCCGGGATCCCCACCCCAAGCCTCCTTCACCCGCTACACCCACTCCCCACCGCTTCAGGCGGGAGCAGTCTCTCATAGATGTCGGGTGCATCGGCCTGTACGCAATTCGGGTACCGTCCTCTGCGACAAAGGTGCTGTCATGGTGGCGACCTGAAGCTCGCGATCCCACATTTTGCCACCGTCAAAACTCCCGCGTCAGGACGCAAGGGCCCCCGCTGTTCTGGGAAGGCCTGCACTTCTGTGGGCGAAACGCCACACCGGCCACCAGCTCGCTTTCCTCAGTTGGAACCGTTGTGGACTCGTTGGGCTAGCGAACGCGCAGACGTTCGGATTCAGGGTCTGCGCCCAGAGATTGTTGGCGCGCATGGCGTCATGTCTGGTTAGGTTCCATGCTTGGTGTGCCGTGCTGAGGCTGAAACTCTCCAACGATTGCGTGGTCGTGAAAAGGCATGACGCTGAAGAGATGTTGTAGACGCTATAGCACCGAGCTACACAATCATCTGCACTGATGCCGGGCATTCAAAATGCTTCAACATCGAAGGCCTGACTGAGGCATGCAGCAGAAGTCGGGTGCGATGCGATGCAACTGCGACAACATCCAGAACAGTGTCTCGCACAGTCCTTCATTAGACACCTTGCAACAAGCTTTTACGCTGCCATCTCTGAATCATTGAATCTTTATAGCATTTACAAGCCTACGGCTTGGCAAGGATGTACACAATTGGATGAGTTGGATGGGCAGGTGTCAAAATCATGGTCCCCGTAGTATGGGTCCGGCACCTTGTCATTTATAACCTCGCTCCCAATCCCCAAACTCAAACGGTGAGAGGGGGCCAGCACTCCTGGACTTTGAGAGCGCCCCGCTGTGAAGACCTAAACCATGCCGATGCTGCCTGAGTTGGCCTCCTGCACCCCAAAACGACCCTGAAACCCCCAAAAACCCTCAAACCCTAAAACCCTAAGACCCTATACCCAGCCCCTGGACTCGATAACCCGTGCCCCCCCCAGTGAGACAGAACTTCCTGACAGGGACCTCCCCTCGTCCGCTGCCGACTCCAGGGGTGCTGGAGTCGGCAGCACGGTTGTCTTAAAAAATCGCCGAAGGCAAGGTGTAGAACGGCATCAACTCACAAGCTACGGACATCCCGCCCAAGCACTGTGATGGCCCACTGGACGCGGCAATCTCCAAGAAGATTTCGGTGGCGATGTTCGGTTTGGGAAGCATTGCTCATGCATGGCGCGCGCACCGAAGAAAACACACCTTCGCGGGAGGACGCACGCAGCCGAAGCCCCCTCATCGCAAGCGACCGCAGGTTCGCAAAGAAGTTACCCGAAGCTGTGTCGTCTGCAAAGCACACAAGAAGCCCCTTGACCGGTCAGCTCTTGCTTGTGAGTGACCTTGCCATGGCCTGGACCGCGTTTGCTGTGGCTGGGCAGAAGCAGCTGCTTGAGAATTGAAAAGTACCTAACCCTGGCCTTTGCTTACCCCGCCCACTCCCAGCATCAACTTGACCCACAGTCTCTGGATCTGCTTTGCAGGCTATGCAATATGATGCAGCATGAGCCAGCGTGAGTCATTTTGGTCTTCAGTCTCTGCCGTCTCGCTCGCGCTCACACCCGACTGGCAGTGCTCGTCCATCCACTCCTTGCAGTCAGTGGCCGAAGAACGGCTCAAAGCCGGTGGGCGGAGCGGCACCATCTGAGTCACCTGCCACCAGCTCCGAAGCTCGCTGCTTGCCCACCTCGCACCACGCGCTTCGACGGAGACAGTCTTATTGCGGACAAGCGGAATCCAAACAAAGAGGCAGGCACAGAGAGAGAGAGAGAGAGAGAGAGAGAGAGAGAGAGCGAGAGAGACAGGACAGCGTCAACAAAAAATGACCAGACACACATATTCTCAAGAGGGAAATGTACCACGACCTCTTTGGATCTGCGACGGAAAGACTTCATGCTCAGACCCTCGGGTCGCCAGCTCAAAACCGTAGGCACACAGCCCGGAGGGCACGTCCAGCTTCAAAGGAAGCTGGAAACAACTTGGGAACAGGTAAAGCAGGCATGCTCCCACCCGCACCGTGCTACACAGCCTCAATCCGCTCACCCACAGCCGCACCTGCCCGTCCAGAACAAGAACATGCACCTCTCTCTTTTGAGAAGCATTCATCCGTGAGGAAAGCACAGGCACAGAGACAGAGAGAGAGAGATAGAGAGAGAGAGAGAGAGAGAGAGGGAGAGAGAGAGAGAGAGGCAGACAGAGAGAGTGAGAGAGAGTCCTACACTGACTGATTATTTACCGTTGTATATAACTTTGTGGATTCGCCTTTC